AAAAAAAAAAAAGAAAAACCAGAAAAATAAAAAGTGGATTTAGAAAAAATATTAAAACCAAAAAGTTAAATACTAGATCAGCTTTTAAAAAATTAAACACTAGATTGGCTTCCAAAAAAAAATATTAAAACCAAAAAAATAAATACTAAAACAAAGAAATAACAAATGGATCTCTAGATCTCTGTCAATGACGCAACAGCATCCTCTGCGTGGGTCACGTTCCTCCCCAAACTCCACTTCGGCCCTCCTCGCCTAGCCACCGTCGACGACGTCACGAACCCCCGATACATGAGGTGGGACCACGGCCCGAACACGGAAATCGACCCGAAGTTCGACTCGGAAGCCAAACTCAGGTCGAATCTGTTGCTGGGCTCACCAGGGGCGTCGGGCCCGTCTCGACCTCGATGCTCAGCTTCCCCCAGGCCCTTGCGTCGACCGTCAGTTCTTGCATCTGCCGCCAGCCCTTGTTCCGTGACCCTTTATTATTGGGGTTGAAGATTTGAATAAATTTGAGCATTTGCATAAATGAAAGGGCTTAACAGAGGTTTTAAGATTTGAAGGTTGAATCGGCCCTTACAGAGGTATGAAGGATTAATTTAAAGGGCAATTTTCATAAATTTAATTAGGGTTTGAGGACAAAATAGGAATTTCAAGAATCCTATGAAAATACAAATATAAAATGAAAATAACATGGAAAAAGCTTATGTGTTATTTCTAATTTTTTTTTTTTATTATTATTATTATTTGCACTTTTATCTAGTTGTACATGTCTACTTGGCATTGAAGGTGCCACGTCACGTAAAGAAACCGTAAATGGATCTGACTGGGTGCCATGTCACGCCACGTCAAAATTTTATTCGGGGTTGGGATAAAAAAGGACCAGAAATGATGAAATCGACAAATTATAAGACCTAAATTGAAAGCGGTCAATATCGGGGTGGTTATATGGACTGTGACCAAGTTATAGAACCAATTTTGAAATTTAGCCAAAGAGAAGGGATCATATGATCAAAAGAGATAATGCAAGAAATAAGAACGATTTTACACAATAGAATTCATAATATTACTAAACATGGGTTAACCACACAAATTGTAAATAAATAGCATTTTATGGACAAATGTATACCATTAAGAGCAGTTTTATAATTTTGTCACCACTCACTTGGTGGGTTCCACCACAAATAAAATCACACATTCTCTCTCATACTCACACACATAACACACACTCTTCACGAATCAGGCGGATACACACATTATATGCCGGATACACACACTCTATTCGGCGAATCGCCGCCTGCTGCCGCCCGTCGGCGCCCGCTACCGTTCCCTCTGCTTCTCTTTCGCACTGTCTCCCTGTTTTTTTTTTTGCACCGACTGCCATCGCTACCACCCAGTCTGGCGTACTCTCTGCCTTTTCTCTCGGCGCCGACCGCGTCCCTTTCCCACGCGGCTAACTTTGATGATACCACGACGAACGTCAAGATCGAGATGCGTATCTTGTTCACCTCACCCGCTTCCTACTTTCGATCCGAGTTGACATGAAAAACCAGATCAACGCGCGAGAGGAATCCGACCACGAGATTTCAAACATGCCGCCGAATTCTAAATCTCGTCGTAGATCTTCTTCCCGTCCACCCGTTGTCATGAAATGGCTTGAGAAAAAGATGTGTATTGGGATTCAGTTGAAGGGCGAGAAGCGCATGTCTCGATTTTGGAATTTGGGGGGACTTGATTTTGTAAATTAGATAATTCCCAGAGACTTGTTCGTAAACTAAAAAATAAAATTAACTATATTACAATTCAGTTCATGGGTCTAATTTGTAATTTATTAAAATTTCGAAATTAAACAACATTAATAAATAAACTGCACAATATTGTGTGTATATACGCACATTAAAAACTAATATTGCACAATTTTGATAAGTTATTAAAGAAAACTAATAAATACACAATTTTGATAAGTTAATTGTACAATATTGCGTGTACATATGGCTTTAAAAGTTAAAAAACATATAATGAAACCGAGATATAAAATTTAAACCTAAAATTTTAGTTCGATCGATTTCATATGCTATTATGCAATCTGTTACTCATTAATATGCAATCTAGTTGCACTTTTATCTAGTTGTACGTGTCTACTTGGCATTGAAGGTGCCACGTCACGTAAAGAAACCGTAAATGGATCTGACTGGGTGCCATGTCACGCCACGTCAAAATTTTATTCGGAGCTGGGATAAAAAAAGACCAGAAATGATGAAATCGACAAATTATAGGACCTAAATTAAAAGCGGTCAATATCGGGGTGGTTATATGGACTGTGATCAAGTTATAGGACCAATTTTGAAATTTAGCCACAGAGAAGGGATCATATGATCAAAAGAGATAATGCAAGAAATAAGAACGATTTTGCACAATAGGATTCATAATATCTATCTATATACTATATTAAAGTGAAGGAGCTAAAAATTCCCTCCAAAACTATATTAATTACTAGAAATAAATTTTACCAACTTTTATGTAAAATTTTCATCAAAAAATACATTTACTACATTGAAATAATTTTTCATCAATTTCTATGCATGATTTACCAATAAAATAATACTACTATTTGTTACATATGAATAACTAATTTGTATTCATAATTGTATTGGAATTTGAACTCCAATTTCTTTTGGCTAAATAAATGCTTCAATTACTTATATGACCATGAAATAAATTTTGTTAATTTCTATGTATTATCATTCAAACAATATCATAATTATTTAGTACAAATAGATACTTATTTTAGTCATAATCAATTATTGTACAAATTTTCGTTAAATATTTTTATACTTTGTGAGTGACATAATTATTTGTTACAAATAATACTTAATACTATACATAATTATTTATTATGAATTCTCATTCCAATATCCCACTTATTATTTGTCTCTCTTCCCATTTGTGAGTATGAGTTCCTTTCCTTATATATTATTTTTTTTCTTATTAAAATAAATTGCCAATCTCATTTAATTAATCATTAAAATAAATTTTAAAGTAAATTTTTTATTTAAAATCATTTATTTTATATATTTTTTTTTAATTTTTGAACATAATATTAATTTTTTCGGTTATATTCAAAATATTTAAAGATAAAATAGAAAAAATCATAACTAATACAATATATGCATGTAATATAATAAATAAATATTTTTATAGTTTTTATTTTGGTATCTATATTGGATATATTAGATAAAACTTTTAGATTCTATATGTTTTTTTTAAAATTCTATGTCGTTTATTTTAACATACACATGTTCAATGTTTACATATAAATATCTAATAGTAGCATCATGTCACGTTTGACACATATACTCTAATATGGTGGAATTTACGTACACGTTAATAAAATATGTAATCATCCCTTACTAATCTAATATTATATTATTTTATATCTCTATATAATTCTAAGAAATTACAAGTAACCATTAAACTATTTGTATTGAGTACCTCATTCCTAAACAATATTTTTAATTTAAATTGTAAAAAGTCTACTCATTCACAAACTCTTATGTGAGCTGGAGTAAGGTTTAGTCAAGTCAACAAGTTATTCTTTATTAACAACAATGCAAACTTAGACTTCTAAATTTCATACTTTTGTTTATTTTATTTTAGAATATATTTTTTTAAATAACAAATGCAATATAAATAGAGAGAGGTAAAAATAATGAAGTTATATTTATCATAAATAATACAATTTATTCAACTAAAAAATATATGTATATATATATATTTTAAATATCATCTATAGTTTTTGGGGATGATCCTTCATATCCATATAAAATAGATCTCAAAAATGTTGATTAGACTTTACTTGGGTAAAAGAAACTTCAAGAACTGTATGGATTGAAGTTTCTTTTACTAATAAACCATGAATATGAACACAAGGAAAACAAAAGTAAAGAAAAATAAGACATTTTAGAACGAAAATGTCATGAAATTGACTGTATTTTATAGATAAACAATATACTAATATTTCATAACTGATATCGTAAAAAGAAAACAAAATCCACAAATGATAGCGTACAAAAAAAGAGATATAACATCATTTCAAAGAGACAACTCATGGATTTGATTGTGAAGGCTGAAAAGAAAAATGCATATATATGGTTCATTTCTTCAATGATTTTTCAACTATATATTAGGGCGTTTCATGTTGTTTTTGGCAGTGTTTTAAGTACCGTACCGGTGGCCATACTGGTCTAACCACCGGTATGTAGTGTTACCGGTCGGACCGGTAATATCGGTGGTATTACCGGACTAGCAAATATAATGATATATATATTTTTATATAAAAATGTATAATACCAAATGTAAAAAAGTAAAAGAATAAATGACCATAATCATTAATTTTAACTTACCAATGAGATAAAAATAAAACATTCTAACTACCAATTTAAATTTTATGTCTTTAAATTAATAATTTTTTTTTATCTTTTTTATTTTTTGATGACCGGTATTTTAGACCAGCTTTTTTCGGTATTTACGGTATGACCCCTGTACAAACCAGTATAAACGTCCGGTATTATGTGTGCAATTATACCGTACCAATGGCTGGTATCCAGTATTACCGGTCGGTACGATACGGTATTGAAAACACTAGTTTTTGGTATATTATTATTTTTAGTTGGTATAATTTGTTTTATTTATGAAAATATTGAAGAGTCCACTTAAAAACATGCGCGCATAAAGTTTCGCCTTCATGAATTTTTTTTATGGGTCCAAAAGTATACAACTATAATTTATGAGCCATAACAAGTTAATTTCATTGTTAATGTTTTATTTGTATATCGTATATTGTTTTCTTAAGAATGACGATAATGTGTCATCTTTATCAAAACATTGCGACATACAAAGCCCTACAACTTACTGCGAATGCAACAACTGTTTTTTCTTCATCATATATCACAATTGTCACTTTTACTTTTTAGTTTTAGACTTATATATTATTATTATTATTAAATGTTTTATTATTGATATTTGAAAATAATTTTATATTTCTAAATAATAAGTTAATTACAATTATCTTAAATTTCATGAAAAATAAGTTTTAGCTATTGATCTAACATTGACGGTGATCATCTTGATTATTTTCTTAATATAATATTATGAAAATAAAAATTACAACTGTAAAGTATATAATAAAAAATAATTCAATATGTATAAACATAAATTTTTATTTTGTACAATGAGGTGAACGTTTTATTTTCATAGTTTGTGTACAACATAAAAATAATTGATTAGTATAGACATAAAATTTGTATTTTGTACAATGAGGTGAACATTTATTTTCATGTTTGTATACAACATAAAATTAATTGATTTAGTGTTCAGACATAGCATCTAATTTAGTTTAATTTATGGGTAAACAATATAAGAATATTGTGAAATAAAAAAAATTTAGAAAAGGATAACAGAAAGAGTGAGTATTTCAACAACAAGAGAGATAAAAAGTGATAATGTAGTTTTGACTATGAAGACGAAATGATCTTATTGATTGAATTTTGATCCGATAATTATTTGTTTCATTTATTTTATTTGAGCTTAAATTTGAGGTTATGTAAAAGTTGGTGAAAATTGACCTCCTTTGTTTTTAATAAATACACAATTATGTTGTTTATAAATAAAAATAGCATAATGTGTCAGTTACCGTGTAATTCTTCTTAATAGAAGCATATTATCGCAACTGAATGTTGTAGTAGATAAAGTTAAACAGAACTTATTATAATGCATTAACTACTTTTTCCTTATCATCTATCACAATTTTTAATTTTACAAGAATGCTTTTTTTTTAATATTCTATAATATAATTTAAATGTCTTTTTCTTATTACTTTATCAAAATTTTATCAATGTACGTTGCTAAAAATTACATTGAATTGTAATTCCCACTGATTTGTGCAATTACCCGGTCTATTTATAACTTTACGAAAAATGATCAATCTTCCACGTCATTCTCTAATCACCATCGCACTTATTTTGCAAAAAATTGAAATGTTGATAATTATTTTGTTAATAAAA